CACTCTGCAGCAGACTGACCACAGACAGAAGAGCACAGAGCAAAGACACTCTTCTTCTCACCAACCAAACCCTTCTAATACTTCAACTTGAGCTTTTTCAGGTCCACAGGTTCAATACGTCGCTGTTCCTTCCAGCTGCAGAGTCCATGTGGACATCGTGGACTCTTTCATTACTTTCTATAAACTCAATGATTTTCATATTTCTCATCATATCTTTTCTCTTCAGTAAACTACCAATGAGAGTGTGTCCTGTGATGTTGTTCTGAGTGTGACTGTGGTTCCTGATGTGCTGTGTTACAGTGATACAGAGTCAGGATGGATGGAGAGTGAATTACCGTCAGACTGACGTCTGTGCTGTAAAAGGATCAACAGTGTATATAAGCTGTGACTACACATACCCACATGGAATACGTTACTCTGATATAAAGGACACATTCTGGTTCACTAAAGAGAAAGATGGTGAACCTGTGGATCTGAGAACAGACTCTGAGTATTCAGGCCGTGTGACGTATGGATATTCTAGTGATTGGAAGAGATGTTATCTGATCATCACAGACGTGAGAGAGAGCGACTCAGCTGAGTACAAATTCAGATTCATGACAAACAAACAGGGACAGAAATATACTGGTTCACCTGGAGTCACTTTGTCTGTCACAGGTAACATTTTAATTCACATATTAATCATCTACAAATGTTCAACATCTAGAAAACTAGAGTATAAATGTCTTCTGTGAATGTTGACACTTTAATAAATAATATTCACTGATTCAGGTTTCCAGGTGCAGATGAGAAGATCAGCTTTTACCAGGTTGGAGCTGACGTGTCACAGCAGCTGTGTTCTGTCTGATCGTGCTGAATACGTCTGGTACAAGAATGAAGAGAACATCAAGACAGGACCTTCTATTCTAGTCTCCTCTGGTTCTACAGACAGATATTCCTGTTATTTAAGAGGATATTGGAATCAACGTTCTCCTGCAGTGTGTAAGTTCACTCCACTGTGTCGGCCTGTGGAGCTTCAGCAACATCTCACATGGAGGCACCAGACCGCTGCATGTAAACTAGAGGCATCAAAAAGATGAAGCACAACGTTCCATAGGAGGTGGAGCCGTGGTCCACTGACCAGAGGGTTGCTGGTTCAATCCCCGGCCCCTGCAGTCTACGTGTAGAAGAGTCACTCACACACTGACACAACAATATGATTCTAATCACAGCTGTAAACACACTGGAGTCTAAATGTTAAAGGAGACACAGATCTTTATTTATGTCATTCTCTTATTAATAGAAACACAAATATAAACTATCAGCAGACAGAATAATGTGATTTTCATAAAGACTCAAGTGAATTATTCCAGAACATAAGTAGAAGTGACGTGTCAGCTGGTGGAGGAAACAATCAATAACTCCTACAACAACTAGAAGTGAGAGGACAGACTCAGCTAAGGACACAAGCTGCATCTAAAGAGAAGAATGTGTGGAGATATGAACATTACAAAGGATTAAAGGCTGCTTATTGTCACTTTACACCAGCAGGAGTCTCACCTGTGACAGCTGCTGTGATGAATAATAGAGATAGTCTGAGAGAAAGACACACAAGTATTCATTCAAATGATCAACTATCTACGCTAACATCTTCTAACGTCTTAGTATGTTTATTCACGTCTCCTCCAGATGGTCCACAGCGTCCCTCTGTGTCAGTGAGTCCCTCTGCTGAGATGCTGGAGGGCGGTTCAGTGACTCTGACCTGTAGCACTGATGCTAACCCAGCAGCTAACTACACCTGGTACAAGGAGGATGGAACGTCAGACCCTCATCTTCTCAGTGAAGAACCTCAGCTGGTCTTCAGCTCCATCCAGTCCTCCGACTCTGGAAGGTATTCCTGTACAGCTAAGAACCAGCTGGGGAGGAAGACGTCTGACTTCATCTTGATCCCTGTGAAATGTGAGTGAAACACAACCTCTTTAAAAGCAACATAATCACTACTGTCAAGTTCTCCAGGTGTTAATTATATTCATCTCGGCCCAAACTTAAAATGGCTTGTTTAACCCAAATATCACAAGGGGACAACTCGGATCTGTTTTGGTCTTTTATTTTCAATCGGAATGGTTGTGGGAACCGGAATAGCTTGATAACCTTAAAACAAAAATAGTAGACTAAATTCTACATCAAAGACTTTCCACAATAATAATTCATCATTAAACACCATTCTTTACCACATTAAGTAAATACACTAGCAAATCAAATTCAAAGAAGTATTTCCATTACAACTTAAACTTCTACTTTTCCTTTTAAGGGTAAAAGATCAACATCAACCGAAAATGGCAAACAAACTATTGCTTCAAACAATATTTGAAATGGTCGAACATGAGCGGCTGAGAGAGGGCGGCTAAGCTAATACCTAAACATTTTATACTCATGCCTGATGAGGGACGCGCTGGTGACTCGGTCCCTCCAGAAATATGGGTTGTATTTTAGGGTTCCACTTCTGTTTGTTTCTGTTTAGTTCTCTGCCCCCTTCAGGGTTGGAGTTTACCGATGCTCCTTGTTTAAAATGAATGTGCAAACTGGTTTTAAACGCAATAACTACTAAGGTAGTGTTTTGTTATTACATCACATTACATTACATGTCATTTAGCTGACGCTTTTATCCAAAGCGACTTACAATAAGTGCATTCAACCATAGGGTACAAACTCAGGAGAACAAGAAACAAGAAAGTGCAATTTCCTCAAATAAGCCAATTTACAATTTGCTGTAGATGAGTGGCGTAATAAGTCCAATGTAAGTGCTACAGTTAGTGTGTTAGTGGAGGTAGAGTCTGAAGAGGTGTGTCTTTAGTCTGAAGACCATTTAGGAGCAGGACAGCAAAGAGTGGTGATCTAGTCGAGTATTTTGCTCTCAGTGAGGAGGAACAAGCAGTTTATCACATGCAGAGCGGAGAGTGCGGGTCGGGATGTCGGGTTGGACCAGGTCCTGGACGTAAGCTGGACCCGATCCATTCACAGCACGGTACGTGAGCACCAATGTTTAGAACTGGATGCGGGCAGCCACCGGTACCAGTGAAGAGAGCGGAGGAGTGGAGTAGTGTGGGAGAACTTAGGAAGGTTAAAGACCAGGCGAGCTGCTGCATTCTGGATGAGCTGCAGAGGTCGAATGGTGGTAGCAGGAGACCTGCAGGAGGGAGTTGCAGTAGTCCAGGCGGGAGATGACAAGAGCCTGAATCAGTACCTGGGCAGCCTTCAGAGTGAGAAGGGGACGTATTCTCCTGATGTTGTACAGCGTGTATCTACAGGATTGTGTTGTCGCGGTGATGTTGGGAGTCAGGGAGAGTCGGCTGTCAAGTGTGACGCCGAGGTTCCTAGCGGCCAAAGTGGGCGTTAGTACGGAGTTTCCAAAGTTGACCGTCAGGTCCTGGGTCGGGGATTCTTTTCCCGGAAAGAGAAGTAGTTCAGTCTTGTCGGGGTTTCAGATGGTGGGCGGACATCCACTGAGATGTCAGTTAGACAGGCCGAGATCTGTGCCGCCACCTGGGAGAGAATGCGTTGGGTGTCATCGGCATAGCTGTGGTAGGAGAAGCCATGCGAGCGAATGACAGCGCCGAGAGAGTTGGTAAAGAGGAGGGGACCCAGGACGGAACCGTGAGGAACTCCAGTAGTAAGAGGACAAGGTTCCGACACAGATCCTCTCCAGGTTACCCGGTAGGTACGGCCGTTGAGGTAGGACGAGAGAAGGGAGAAAGCAGAGCCTGAGACACCAAGTTCATGAAGGGAGGAAATAAGGATCTGGTAGTTGACTGTGTCTAATGCAGCAGAGAGGTCCAGAAGGATGAGGACAGAGGAGAGAGAGGCGGCTCTAGCAGTGTGGAGTTGCTCTGAGACAGCAAGCAGAGCAGTCTCTGTGGAGTGGCCTTGAATCCTGACTTGTGGAGGTGAAGGGGTTGTTATGGTGGAGATAGCAGGAGAGTTCGTTAAAGATACACGTTCAAGGGTTTTGGATAAAAAGGGAAGAAGAGAGACCGGTCGGTAGTTGTTTGGTCTGTAGGGTTGATGGTGGGTTTCTTCAGGAGTGGGTTGACTCTCGCCTCCTTCAGAGAATGGGGAAAACAGCCAGATAACAGAGCATTGTTGATGAGACAGGTGAGGAAAGGGAGGTCAGGTGCGTAGATTGTAGAAGATGTGATGGAATGGGGTCAAGAGGGCATGTGGTCGGACGGACATAGGTTAATAGAGTAAGAATTTGGTTAGGAGACAGGGGGGTGAAGGAGGAAAGTGAGGGTGATAGAGGTGAAGTCAATGGGACGCAAGAAGTAGGAGGTGGGTTTGAGAAAGAGGAGTGTATGTCATGAACTTCTATTTATTTAACTCTAACTTGTAATAATGTGTTGACACATCTCCTCAAGATCTTCCACAGCGTCCCTCTGTGTCAGTGAGTCCCTCTGCGGAGATACTGGAGGGCGATTCAGTGACTCTGACCTGTAGCACTGATGCTAACCCAGCAGCAAGCTACACCTGGTACAAGGGGGATGGAACTTCAGATCCTCATCTTCTCAGTGAAGAACCTCAGCTGGTCTTCAGCTCCATCCAGTCTTCTGACTCTGGAAGGTATTTCTGTACAGCTGAGAACCAGCTGGGGAGGAAGACGTCTGACTTCATCTCTATCGATGTGAAATGTGAGTGAAACAACCTTTTTAAAAGCAACATAATCACTACTGAGGTAGTGTTTTGTTATGAACGTCTATTTATTGAACTCTAACTTGTAACAATATGTTGACACGTCTCCTCCAGATGGTCCACAGCGTCCCTCTGTGTCAGTGAGTCCGTCTGCTGAGATGCTGGAGGGCGGTTCAGTAAATCTGACCTGTAGCACTGATGCTAACCCAGCAGCTAACTACACCTGGTACAAGGAGCATGAAGACTCACCACGAGCATCAGGACAGATCTTCACCATCACTGACTTCACAGCTGAACACAGTGGGAATTATTACTGTGAAGCCCAGAACGAGATGGGACGTAGTAACTCCACCTTACGTCTGATTACTTCTTCAGGTAAATCACACTCATTCTTCTGTTCACTCACACATTACATCAACAATCCAGCTAAAGAAGTGACTCACAGTAAACGCGGCCTTTAGCTCCTGTCCTCCACTCAGTGAAGCAGGAGAGCATTGTGGACTAGAAGGTGAACCTGAGCAGATACACTATGACCTTATTGAGAATCAAACCCTGGACCCTTCATCACTTTAAAGCTTCACCAGCTGAGCGTCCTGCAGACATCACGTGGTCTGATGCTGCGTCGTCTCATCAAATGATGAAGTCAGAAGTAGAAGGAACAAGAAGAGTCACGTTAGAAGAGCTGAAGATGTTGATACCTGAACAGAGTCTGTAGCTGTAAGAATGCAGGAGCAGCTCAGTAAGAGAAACAAGTCTGGAACAAACACAATGCTGTTAGCAACACAACAGTTAGCTAGCATGCTAACTAGTCAGCTTTGAGTATTAGCAGTAGTATTTTTGGGGGTTTGGATTGTTTCTCCAAAACGTCTCCTGATCGAGTGTGTTTAGTTTGTGTAGCAGTAAACACTCTACAGTTGCCTTGGCAACAGGACACAATAAAATGGCCGCCGCTGTGACCATCCAGCTACGTTGTTTTGATAAGACGTTCTACTCATATTTAGTTTGAGTTAAAGTTCATCATCTGAATAGAGCAGATCTTAAGATCCCAGATATTCTGTTTCACTGAGTTAAACATCTTATTTCCGTCCTGTTGGTAATTAATTCACCTTCCATATTTAATACTTTATATTTGTTGTTTATTTTCTTTCCTGTGTGGGAAAAGGAGCCTCCCCATGGCCAATAACAACAGCTGTTTTTGCGTTAACATCTTCTATTTTCCTGGTGATCATCATGATCCTCAGTGTCCTCATGATCAGGTGAGCGGTTCAACTTCACTGATGAAATGTAGATCTGGATCTTACATTCACGCAGTCGTTGAATCACTTGATTCGATCTTTTGTTTGTTCATTAATACATTTTTCTGCCTGAAGAAAAAAGTCTCCACAAAGCAGCCGGCCTGCAGAGAGACCAGAGAACAACGCTCAGGTGAGGAGGAAGAGCTCGGTGTGGAGGCCTCTGGGAACATCTGGGAACATCTGGGATCATCATGTCAGGCCTGTGAGGCGGGGATTTAAAAGCCAACAATTAAAATATAATACAAATTCATATAAATTAGGAAATAAAAGTTACCAGCAACACTGGGAGTTCAACTCCAGGTAAAAACCGGCCCACTGGGAGGTTTTGTCAGGTCCCTCTAGTTCAGCCCACTCCTACGTCCTGGTTCTTCTTCAAACTATCTAGACACCAGCTGTCGCTCCCACATGATGACAGTTTGTAGATGGAACTTCATTAACCTCAATGACGTTAATTACAACCATTAAACACCTGAGACCTCCATGAGAACCTGTAGGGCCCAAAGGAGTCATTAGAGAAGAAGCCCTGCAGATATTCTACTATCTAGTCCTTTGTACTTCAGTCCAACAATACTATCCAACAAGTACTTCTTGTTCTTTGATGCAGATCCCACCAGCGGAACCTTGCTATGCTACCGTGAGCTTCTCCAGAAACCAGGAGGATCTTCTCTACTCCAACGTCAGTCCAACTCGCCCCCCCAGACGCAAGGAGGAGGTGGAGGAAGTTCTGTACTCACGTGTCAACTTTGTGCGAGTGAGTCAGTGACAATCTTTACTGAACATGGATCCGTCTCTATTTTTATCATCACTGTTTTATTGCTGTTTAAACGTGTTAATGATTAATATTCTGAGTTTACGGTTCTTTCACAGACGGAGATGTGAAGGAGCTGTGGATGATTCTTCTGCTCTGTACAGCACCGTCAGCAAAGCACTAAGAGAATGAACCCACACAGATATGTGGTCTGTTACTGTACAGAGTTTAAGCAGCTTAAACACACCTGCATGAATATGAGGTTTGACATGTTGTATATTCACCATCGTTAAGGCTTCCATCAGAGAAGCATCAGGGAGCCAATGGGAGGCCAGCTTGTAGTCTGTAATCAGCCTTTAAATGTTACTAATCAGCAATATGTTACTACCAGTTCTATACAAGCATCTTCAGGTACATTTATCTGTAAATAGTCTTTACCAATATTGCCAATATGCTTCTATTGATTCTCATAATATTTACTGAAGTTTTTGTTTTGTATGAGAACTTGTCTCAACTTAAAATGGCTGAATTGGACTTTCAGAGTGTTTTAAGCACCTAGTGGTAGAAATGATAATGTAGAAATGTTTAGGGTAGAATTGTAGTTTGTGTGTTAGATATTAGTTATTACATTAGCATGTTAGATGAAGTGACTGCAATATGAATCAAACCCAATTCATAGTAATTATAGTCTTATAATTACTGCACACATTTACCTGCTACAATGTAACGTTAAGACTTGGAGACGGATGCTAATTGCCGTCCTTGATGGATTCCAAAGAGTTTTTTCTCCTGTCAGGTAGTAGATGAGCAAAGTTTGTACGACAGCCCTGCGAGGCAAACATTCTGATTTTGGATCATATAGAACTGAGTTAAACATATTAGTTAAGATGTGATGATCTAGGATGTGTTAAGTTTACTCGCTATTAGATGATGAGATTATGATGCTTTATTATGTTTACATGAGGAAGCTTTAAGCCAAAGGAGTGATCATTGAATGTACTGTAGTATGAAGGGAACAGGGATCGATCAGGTCACTGAGGGATCTCGGATTCAACCATCAGAGGGAGTCACGGTGGGGGGGGGGCTTGAATGTGCAGCCAATCACATACGACAGCAGATTGGGCTGAGCTGGAGAAGGAGCAGGCAGAAGCCTCCTGTGAACCATTACTGATGGTCATATGGACGAGGGGACTTCTCTATTTCAGTTTTTTTTTAAGTAACGGTTTTAAATAAGATTTAGTTATAGATAATAGAATACAAGAGGTTCTACTAAGTGGGGCAGTTGTGGTTGTGCCAAACAAAATGGAAATTAAGATAACAGAAATAGAAAGAATTAGAACGAAACAAATTGGCTTCCCTTACTTCTCTAAGAACGTCCATCAAAATACAGAGGGAGCACCAACCACTAACCCGGAGTCCCTACGTGATGCACACGTGTACAAGGTACAAACGTACCAACTGTCCTCAACCTCTCACCACAAACCTGCACTTCTTGTGCGTGCATGACAACTAAAGGAACACCTGCTCCAGATCTCCCTTTTAACAGCAGGGCCCTCAGGTGATTGGCGGCTCTCTTCAGGAACTCAGGTGCAGGCAGATCGGCACCTGAAGGGAAAAACAAGGGAGGAGGGGCAACACAGACAGTAGTGACACGGACGTTAGTGTAAGATTGTTATCGCCTCTCGTAAACATGTTGATTGTATTTTGTATTATTACGCAGAATGTGCTAATTGATTTGTGACTGAAGCTGTCACATTGAGGTATTACGTTGTTCATTCTGTCCTCATGACGTCATCGTAGTCCGTCCATCAGGAGACGGATCCTCCTCTCACGCTCTCACTGAGGTTTCTTCCCTCAGGTTTTCCTGTGTAGATGTGATGTTTGGGGACAGAGGATGTCGCATGTGTACAGACTTTAAAGCCCTCTGAGGCACATTTGTAATTTGTGATTTTGGGCTATTCCAAATAAAATGAATTGAATTCTCCTGTGGTTTTGGAGCAGATGTGTAACAGATGTGTTGTGGGAGAAGATTGAGATGATCAAGTAAACCTCAAAGTGGTGATTACCACTGGTAGTAAAGCTCAGTTACAAAGGAAGTGGCTTAACCTGAATTATAGTTATTTTTAGCTAAATGTTTGGGCTTTGTGTATCTATAAAAAATAGCAAATGTTTTAAAAATAAAAATACTTTTTTCTATGCCAGTTATTTTTTTTCCTCCTCTGATCCCATAGACGTCTATGAGGAAATGACTCTTTATTTATTCCCTCAGTAAACATTGTAAACATGAGTTTATGGTCTCAGTCTCTAGTCTTCAATACAACATGATGTTCATTTAATAAATTATGGTCCATTTAGAGCCAACTAAACACATATTTATTCTGTTTATACGCTCTGCATTGTGGTAGATTTCTCTAGTTCTTCCTTGTAGTTCTTCCGTGTCAGACCTCAGTGAACATTTGTTCATCTCAACTCGGGGGTTTACAGCCAGCTGCTCATGCATGGTAATTATCTAAAGGGGAAGCAGGACTTTTTCATCAGCTGATACAGACACACGTTGTCTTTCAGTCCCACGTCCCTCTCTTGGACAGCTGATAGTGGAGGACGTGTTTTAACAGAGAGGGATGAGCGGAGGAGCTGAGAGTGGATCAGTCATCTTCCTCCTGTCTGCATTCATATTCATCACATTTATATCTGTATCACAGAGCCTGAGTCGCCATGAAGGCTTTTATTAGGAACACGAATGACCAAAATACTTAGAAAGTTTCACTTCCCCCTTTGTCTCTTTCTCTGAACCGTCACACCCTAACGCTCACCACAAACACCACCATTTTACTTTCTGCTAATTACTATTCAGTTTCCTTTTCTCTATAGAAAAAGATGTGCACCTGCACCCCTTCTGCTGTGATGAGTGTGATGGTGGTTTGTAGTTTCTCTTCCAGTCATTCGGGGTCAGGATGGCTGCAGAGTTACTTACGGTTCCTCTTGGATCTTCTGGATTAAACGGATCCACCTTGGAGATGCACTGCAGATACACCCCCCCAGAACCAATGAGGGAGTCACTGCAGACCAAAGGGGCCTTCTGCTTTACCGACAGGCAGCACGGACACCCGGTGGACCTGAGAACGGACCCGGGACACGTAGAGGACAGTTAGCTTAGCATACCGCTGCTCTCTGAGGATCAGCGGCCTGAGAGGCGGCGACTCGGCTGTGTACAGGTGTGCTGGGTTCATGTTCACCACAAACCAACCGGACAGGAAGTACACCGGCGAACCGGGGGTCCGTCTGTCCGTCACAGGTAACGGATCCAAGCGCTCAACACTTGGGAAGCTGCTGGTGTCTCTGAAGGGATTCTTGTTTCATGGTTTTACAAATGCAGGTTTGCAGGTGGAGATCAGCAGATCAATGCCTTTGTCACGAAGCGGGTGCAGGCAGAGGCAGGACTCAAACGCAGAGTTTTGGGAAACAACAAAAAGACTTTAATGGTCAAAATTCCAAAATGCCAAGGGGCTAAAAAAAACCACAGGCGGGGACCAAGAACGAAGCACCACAGGATCCACAAACATGCAGACACCGAGGCGACAGGAGACGCACAGGGCTTAAATACACTGGGAAGGTGCAGGTGATTGGACACAGGTGGAAACAATCACAGGACAAGGTAGGAAGTGAAGTTACCCGGGGACACGAGGGGCAGAAAACTACAAAATAAAACAGGAAACAACCCAAACCGTGACGACCTTGTTATGGAAAGTGTACATCAGCAGACCTGACGGGTCAGAGCAGTCGTCCTCGACCTCGTCCAACCTTCTACAGCTGGTACAAGAACGGAGACAAAGTGATGATGAAAGAAACAAAGATTTGGGGCTACTTTTATTCTTTTTCCAGGTCCTGCAACAAAGTGACGTCATCATTCCGTGGACATTTCTGACTTCTAGATAAATCACATCTAAGTTCTGGTGCAGCCCTCTGCATGGTGGTCGTTGGAGGCATCTCGCTCAACCAAAGGACCTTCATGAAGACTCCCAGGACGAAGGTCGCGTTGAGGTCCTTGATACCGAGAGAGGAAACACTGAGAATCAAAGACCTGAGAGAGAACGATTCAGCCGAGTAGCGTTTCATATTCACAGCATGGAGCTCTGAAGGGACCAGCGGTTTACCTGGAACCACTTTGACCGTCAAAGGTACGAAGAATAAAATCTATCAAATGCTCTGACAACATGTACCTTACTCACTAAGATACAGTAATAGCTGCATGCATGGCTTCATACCATTAATGTTCTGTGTTGAAACACATCACTGCTGCTGGATCTCACCTTTTCTTACTGAATGGTTCACAGATCCAGATGTGCAGGCGCAGGTTGATCTGGTCTCCTGGGGGTCCGAAGCTGATTTGCCACAGCAGCTGTGCTCCTCATGGCCGCCCGTCCTTCGATTGGTACCTCAACGGAACCACAAAGGTTGAGGGTGGATCGTCTCTTTCTTACGAAAGGATCCGTTGACGCCGCCGACAGTCTCTCCTGCGCTTACCAGAGCCGCTGCCCTCCAGTGTGTGTGCCCCCCCCCTCATGACACGACCACAGCCGCCGGGATCCATGTGATGTCACTCACGCTGGCTGCTGAGGAGAAGGACGCGTCCACTGTGCAAGTGTTCCGGGGATGAAGATTGATGAACACACTAATAAATCTTGATACGTTTTTCTGTGAGAGCAGGTTGAATGGAAGAAGAAGACGTCTATTGTGCTACCGGTGCTACTTTTCTAATGTTAGTTAAAGTGTTACCCACCTTCGCATCCCCCACAATGTTCTATGGTACATTGTCAGTGCAATGCTGCTTATGCGTGAAGCAAAAACACGTGTGTGTTGTCAGCTTTAAAGAGATGATGTAAGTCACTCTTGTTTATTATGCACAACATTGATTCATCTCATTTACAGAATTTGCAGCATAATGTCAAGAAAAGAGAGACTCCAAAAGCAGGAGGACAGGGAAAATATCCTGGTCTGTTTTTGAAATGTATTTATTTATATTATTAATATTTTTAACTTCCTGAATAACTTTGGCAATGGTGCCCTTTTGTTTTGGGTTGAGCAATTAGAGAAATGGCTCAAAGGAGTGAAAAGAATGCGCTATTTAAACAGACTAACAGCATTTTACAGGCCGACTTGTTATCATGGTGGAAAACAAGAAGTAGACGTAGTTGTCAAATTCCAAATGTTTAATTTTAATTCATATCTCAGTCCTATTGTACGATTTGTATGTAATTGAAGAAACAGTGTAATCCATGAAAAAGAGACCTGCTGCCATAAATAATGAGCTTTATAAGTGAATGTTCTACTTGTATCTCTTATTATGTTTAGTAACAGAATCATGAAATCAGACATTACAACTGATGATAATCTACTAAAATAAGTCCAATATTTCTGTCACCATTGTTGTTGATTTTGTGTGAGGGAAGCTGCCAAAACCGTCATGAATAAAATGTACATTTGTGTGTGTGTGTGTGTGTGTGTGTGTGTGTGTGTGTGTGAGATGCTGATGAGGAACCACGAAGCGGACCAGAAGATGGGCAGGATGCATTCTCTCTGGTTTATTCAGGTTCTTTAGGAAGAGTTCTGTTTGAAATTACAAAATGCACTGGTAGAAACAGATAGAGAAAGAAACAGAGCGAGAGAAGGAGATGGTGGGAGAGAGAGAGAGAGAAAGGAGGGTTTCATATCCAGAATAAACAGGAATAACATCACCAGATTCAGATTCAGGCAGCGCTTTACTCTCAAAGGGGGAGTTTTTCAGCGAGGAAAAACCTCCTCCTCCTCCCCCCTTTTTAAAATCATTTTTTAAACTTTTTTAATGTTAGTTAAAGTGTTATCCACCTTCGCATCCCCCCCCCCACAATGTTTAAGCCCCGTGAAATAACTGGCGATATAACAAACAAACATTCTTTGATTTCATCACCAAAGTCATTTCCATTTATTTATTCTTTTATCAGGGCGATTTTTTTTCTTTTTTTGTTTTTAAAAATAGAAGAAATAAAGAAACACATTGCTCTTAAAAACATCTATCTATATATATTTTTACATATATATACTTTTTTCTTTATATTTATTTATTTTTTTGATTCCTGAAGTTGACTTGTTACCCCACATAGTGGCATGCACATTGCACATGCAAATCTGTAATTAAATACTTCTCTTTTATCTTAAATTGCCGTGTATGTTTATTCTTTTATGCCCCGACTTGCTGAGTGGATCCTGTATGGTTTTCTACTGTGGCACTGGTTCGGTTTCTACTGGGTCGGATGGTCGGCATGGCGATGAGATGGATGCTTGGTGGTTGCTTCGGAGAGTTTCCCAATACATCTCGTTACAGTCAAGATAAGATTACAGTTTATTGTTGTTGTACTTTTACACAATGGTGTTTAACCCTTCGCACCACTCGATGCTTGATTATATATTTACTCTTTAAACATGGTTCAAGAGGGAAACGTCTGATCTGCAGCCGTTTACAGGTTTTAATCTATGTAGTTTGACACCTCAATCGTGGCTTCTATCAAACGATACTTTACCAAATATGTTTTTCCGATAATGATTGAACGGTTAATTGTGTCCTTTGCAAACCCAAACCAATCAGGCACAAAGGCTGAATGAATAAAACAAGTCTGTTTCTCAAGGACCCAAAACACAACAGGCGCTCAGATGGTCTGAGAACGATCAAATAGTGAGAGGACGACCTCCCGCGTCCAGATCTCCTGGAAGCAACCTGTCTACTGGATGTGATGGGAATGGAAACACGTGGAGACGAGAGAGAGAGAGAGAGGGGGGTTGCTATGGCGACAGCCGGGGACACTTTTACCTGCGGCACTGAGAATTTCATTCACTGTAAAACGGCATCGAGTCCGGTGGGTGATTAAGGTACGAAGGTCCAGGTGACGTGCACAAAAATGAATGAGCCACGGCGGCATCGTGGAAGTGCCGAGCAAGCGTTTAACTTACTCCATCAAAGCATTGATGGATGCATGAGCATCACGCTGTATTGAAGAAGAATTGAAACTAGAGACTGAGACCAAAAACACATGTTTACAATGTTTACTGATGGAATAAAACAAGAGAGAAGTAGAGTCATTTCCTCATAGACGTCTATGGGAGCAGAGGAGTCGCCCCCTGCTGGTCACTACAGAGAAGTAGAGTCATTTCCTCATAGACGTCTATGGGAGCAGAGGAGTGCCCCCCTGCTGGTCACTACAGAGAAGTAGAGTCATTTCCTCATAGACGTCTATGGGAGCAGAGGAGTCGCCCCTGCTGGTCACTACAGAGAAGTAGAGTCATTTCCTCATAGACGTCTATGGGAGCAGAGGAGTCGCCCCCTGCTGGTCACTACTGAGAAGTAGAGTCATTTCCTCATAGACGTCTATGGGAGCAGAGGAGTCGCCCCCTGCTGGTCACTGCAGATAATGAAGAATTAAGAGATTGTCAGGACTTGTCAGGACTGATGGGTGCATGGGTTTGGTTTGTCCTCTCTGGGCTACTGTAGCAAAGAGGACACACTCTCTATTCAGGCTCGTGTCCACAACATACCAGCGAAAAGAATTGTGTGGATAAATTCATCAATTATTGTGCAACAATCATCTTGGATTTCTCCTCAAATGATCCGCCGGACTCGTCAGACAACACAGACAAACACAAAGACAGATGTTCACAGACAACACCCCCACATGTGTGAGCACGAACACACACACACACACCGTTTATGATGACAGCTCAATCACACCCCCTTGTGTCTGTGGATGGTATCACACGAGGAATGGAAGAAAATCAGATGAACACAATGAGTTTTTACAGAAAGTTTATGGATTATATACACAAGAAGTACTGAGCCAAAATGTACAATACAGTGGGAGAGAATGGGTGAGAGAAATGAAACTACCACCCTGATGAGAGGTTGGAGGGAGGACGGGGGATGAAGGTGGCGATCTCACGTGCGTGCCGTGATTGTCTCAAAGGAGGAGTCATGGTGTCCTGTACAGTGTAAGGCACTGAGGGTGACCTACTGTAGCTGATGGTGTCAGGACACACACACACACACACACACAGTAGATGTCTCCCTGTCGCATCAGTAGCCCCCCCCCCCAGCGGGGTGACGGTGACGGAATGGATGAGGATGTGCCCGAAAAATGGTCCAGTGCCATTGTGAAATTTTGTGTTAGCATCACTACGACCTCTGCTGTTTCAGGTTGTAAACCGGTCTGCTAGTTGCCTCGAGGAGTCCCTGTTACTCCGCCACTGTAAGTGTGAAATAGGTGCTACTGAGTTGGAGTGAAGATGACTAACAAGGTGAAACACAGAATGATAATGTTTTGCTACATGCTTTACAACCAGTCAAACCAAAAAGGGAACAGTAGCAGTAGAACACTAGAAGAACTGCTAGTTTGATTAAAAATACTTGTGCCCCCCCCCCCACTTCTGAAATCAAAATGAGTCCCTGGATACAAACACGATCAGGGTGGATTTAATTTAGCAATAGAATAGAAGAGCACACTGAGAACTTAAGGGGAGAATATTCAGTCAACTTTTGTCTTTAGGTTCAAGCCAACGATAAACCTGAATGAGCAATAATCCAACATCCTGACAGGAAAATAAATGAACAGTAACAATCAGATTCACATGTGGACATCTCTTCATTTAGTGAGTAACACTCACTGAGTGACTTCAGCTTTGAGTCACATTCTAATACGTCCTTCTGCGTGAGAACAGTAACTTGTTCTTAAATATCTTATGCAGATAAATATTAAAGGGCTTAATCTGTGTCCATTGAACGAGTACTGCGTCATTATGTCAGTGAGCAACACGCCCACAGATACAGTAAAATACATATATATATATATATATATATATATATATATATATATATATATATATATATTGTGGCAACCAACGGGTGTGGGTGAAATCACAGGACTCGGATACACGACCAGCTGCACACAAAAAAAGGGTACGGTTTATTTTGACATACAAAAAAAGGGAAAAGGGCAAAATAGGTTCTTCCTCTTTTGAGGGCTCGGTTCAACAGGCTGTTCGGCCTTCAGTCCCCTTCCTGCGGGAAGCACAGAAAACAGGATTTACACTCATTCCAAAACCCCCCCAGCGTGAGGCCATCTCCTATACGTCTAGTTCCCCAGGCTGCATGAATGGGTGGTCCTTTATAGCGTGGGGGGGCGGGGGGGCGTTTCCCCTTCTCACCTGACCTCTGGCTCGTCGGTGCCCCAGACCTTGGTGCTGATCTCTTGAGGCGCTGTCCAGGGTGCTGCTTCGTGGGTTGCCACAATATAAAGAAGAATGTCATTCTCTCTGCTAACAAACATTGACGTAATACCTCTTCAGGCCAGAGCTCAGCTTCACCTCGTCCTTCTCATCTTCATGTTAAACTGGTGTGATGGGCTGCAGTCCGTATTCCACTTAAGAATGAAAGCAAAGGTTCAGTTCATTGAAGGAGAAACATGCTGCTCATCAATCCAGGACATTGTTTGTCCATCCAGACACTAATCTGGAAAAAGCCTTTTGAAGTTACAGCAAAAGAAAACCAGGATGAAATTGAAGGTGATTATGATACGTTACACGTTTTTGACTACTGTTTGTGAGACTCCGCAGGCGTGGTTCTCGCACTCCGCTGCCGGGCATCTTTCTCTCCAACGTGCGCTCACTGTGCAACAAACTGGAGGAAATACAGCTGCTGGTGAGGAGAGACGGAGACTTCTCTACATCCTCCGTCTTGTGCTTCACGGAGACGTGGCTCTGCGGATCGATACCGGACTCCGCGCTCCAGCTGGCGGGCTTCCAGCTGCTCCGAGCGGACCGCGACACGGAGCTCTCCGGCAAGACGAAGGGTGGAGGAATCTGCTTCTACTCCAACAGCAGCTGGTGCAACGACGTAACGGTGACCCTAAAACACTGTTCTCCTGATCTGGAAACTTTCTCCATCAACTGCAAACCCTTTTATTCCCCCCGTGAGTTCGCTTCATGCATCCTGGTCGGTGTTTACATGCCGCCGGCGGGCAACGTGCACGAGGCTCAGCGGACACTCGCCGACCAGATACGGCGTGTGGAGCGGACCAACCCGGACTCTTTAGTTATTGTCCTCGGGGACTTTAACAAAGGAAATCTCACCCATGAACTTCCTAAGTACAGACAGTTTATTAAATGCCCACCAGAGAGGAGAACACGCTGGATCATGTAGGATATTAGAAATAAACTGACGACCCGGGTCATAAAATGAATGAAATGCATATAGTGTACACCAGAATACAGCCATGATTCTGAAACTGTGTC